GGGGGGGCTGCTAGAGACGGTAGCTGATCATGTAATCACGAAGTCATCTAAGTCACAGGAAGTCTAATCAGGGTGCTAAATTTCAACAAAGCCGGCGTGTTAGGCGCTACTAACTAACACGGGGGTAGTGCACAGCCTCTGAACTAAGTTCCATCGGATGGAGTTGACGGATACGTGATGGATATTTTTTAGTGTTAGCATTGGCTTTGAAATAAGCGTAAACATTAGCAATACCTAGTTTGTATTTTGGATCGTGTTGAGGAATGGTTCAAGGTGAGCGAAGAATTGACCTTTAAGGAGGATCCGCTTGAGGGTTGAGTTCTGTCTATTCTTCTGTCCTTTGAATAGAAATGTTACTTATGCTTACAGGTTGGAATGTTCAATGGTGTCATTGTGATTTTTGACGCACGCAAAGGCAGTCAAACTCCTCTCCTCGACACAACGTAAGTATTATGCATTTGTGCTGCCAAAAGCAGTCCATAGTTGGATACCTCTTAACTGGACAATTTACAGTGCATTAAATGTTGTAGGCATGCAGCAGGGCGCCACTATTCGCCGGTGTGCAAATTGGAGTGGGTCTCACGTGAGGCGGGGAGGTCGACCGGTCATACAGAGAGCCTCATCTCCTGCTCCATGGATGGCAGAATTACAGAGTGGTTCACGCTTAAGGGTTTCGATTGTACTGGTATTTTGGACCCTTTTCTGGATCAGATTTATGCTTAAGTAAATTATTCATCTAAATGTCATAGTTCCTCAAACGTGCTGCGAGAGATTTTAGTATAAGATACTCATACCCAGCATCAAAATGCAGTAAAATCCGTCTGTCAATTGTCCAACACTTTTGGTGTACATGGGTACAAAAGCAACGTTATTTTATTTGTTGCAAAGGTGAATGTGATTACCACGTAGGCAAGTTTGCGATGTTGTACTGTTAATTTGCGCCTAATTTGTTGTTGATTCTTTGACTTTATACAATCTGAAGTTTCTCGCACAAAGTCTACAGCATTATTTCCATTTCGCGTTGTGTTGAGATTTGGTTTTGTGGAAGCAGTTCAAAAAGGTTTACTTTTATATGAATTCTTATAAATCAGAACTTGTTCACTCTGTTGAAGTGAAAACATGAACATCCAAGCTAAAATGGATTAACCACTTATAATGTCGATTGGAATTGAAATTCGAACAGTTTGGAAAGGCTGCGATAGCTGTAAGCAGGATGGCCTGCCCAGCAATCAGAACCCCTAAGCCATGTTTATTGCGATAGTGATTTAGTTGTATTGAATGTAAAGGAAAGTAACTTACTTATACTACGGTTTGGGATGCAGATAATAATTGCCTGGATCCTCTTCGGAGCATCAAATTCATATGCAAAATTTAGGTAGACCGTTTGTCAATAACAAAGTGGCATACTTAACTAATTCACTAGCCCTGGAGCTGTTCACATTGGGACTACGATAATATGAAGGACCGCATGCCCTCTTGCGCAGGAATGGCATAACCACAAATTGCGTTCCTACCTCTTGGTATGACCAAGCTACAGGAGTTCCTAAGATTGGAGTCTGTGAAAACTTGGCCAACGCCTAAACAAATTCTCACATTTAATTTGCAACTGTCCCATATATTCAAAATTTTAGTAAGCGTTTTGCCTTTATGCTTTCTGTTTACTAATATTCGCGACCTTCCTCTCCTGCTAGTAGAACCTTTACCATTCTTTGGTCTTTCATAAAGGGATTGCTGCGGATGGAAATGAATCAGTCACGCTACTGGTTCATTAGACAATAAATGATCTTCATTTCTTTTAAGACCTGATGCTGTTGAAGAGACCCAGATTAAAAGGTCCAAATTACGCGATGAGAAAGAAGCACTCGGAAGCGCTCATCGTGAGGCATGCGGTAGGAACCGCCCTCTGCTTCAATGATCTCGATCCCAATATGTGAGTCCCTCGCATTCACTCTTTCCTCGCTGATCAACTTTCCACGCTACTGCTCTTTCCCAGTAGTCGTTATTTGATAGTTTGCTAAGGAAGCTTTGGTCAGCTGACATCAAACCTAGCATTAGCCGTGCCACCGCAGACTCCACCAAATGATTGTTTTGCTTCGAATTCCAGGGATACGTATTACTGTTTGGGAATTTCAGATATCTCGTTGGTACGGAAAGTGGTCAAATTCACAGATGTTCATGCTCCTACGCCGAACAGTACCTCAGCACTTACAATGGCCACACTGTAAATCTTGTGTATTTCTTTGTTGATGATAGTGCTAGACCACCTCAACACTGGCGAATTAATCGTCAGGCTGATCTCTAATGTGATAGATTTATATCATGTGCCTTCCTCATAATAATTTGATATAAATGACTCACTTGTCTCTAGTACTCATGCCTATGCTTTGAAAATAGGCCCTTTTGTTTTTGAGGAAAGAAATTGGTCGTGGAATTATGTGCGCTTCGACATTTGTATGGGGTGTTTAGCACTGAAATCTCCACAATATCTTTACATTATCGCACTTTCTCATGTTACTCTACTCAAAATATTTTAATCCTTTCTAAGTTTTCTATGCACTCTGTAGCCTCCGTAAAAGAACTTTTTATTAATTTTGTTCGATTTGAAAACAAATTCTGCTCTCAGATCTCGTAACATCACTGGGGATTATAATAAGATTTGGACGCTCTTTAGAGACTAAAATGCGTCATCTCTTACCATCATATGACTTGCATTAACTCACTTGAGTAATGTTTTCTTCATAAATCCTACAAGAGTTAGAATTTCGTCTCCACCATTAATCACACTTTATGACAACCACCTTTCAACTATCTACAGTCGGTAGACTTCCCCTTCCCGTAACTAAACAGGAAAGAGTCAGTCGCCTAATATTCTTAATGAACACTGACACAGTCTGACGGTAACTCATCGTCTTCCCCTCGTTCCTACTGTATTCATGACAATTCCAGCATATTGGGGCAGGGCCCAAGCCTGCCAAAGGTGATGAATACTGTGGTTCTATGGCTACAACAGAGGAGGTTAGCAGACCTCCAAGGTCATTTACAGATGCTGCGAATACCCCCTCTTGGGTTTACACCCTGTCTTCCTCTCACCCTATCAATTCACCTTCACGAATGGAATTTCTAAGGCAAGTGTTTCTGCAGTGCGTAAAGCATTAGCCCCCTTCTTTCCTTCCTCTACCTTGGGTAAACTTCCACTGTGTTGTCGCTTAATGCGGTCATTTCCACTTCCAACTGGGTTTACCCACTTATTTTCATTCCTACTGCTTCCATTTATTTGGTGCACTGCTATTATCAAAGAATACATTGTTGGGAGGACTTTGTCCCTTAGACGATGGTGGAATTTCCGTTGACAAGAAGTGCTTTCAAATCGAGTCAAGCAGATAATGGCAAGTGCAAGCAATTGACAGACGTGATGTTTTGACTATTTCAACAGGCCAACAACAAGTAACGCATTGGGAGAAGTTTGGTGTAAGGGTAAGGGGAATTACTTCGACTTAAAAAATGCTATAAAGCATTAGCAGCGGCACATTCTTTGATACGTGTAAAGTGTTTTATTTTTGAAAAACTACTAAGTGAGCAGATGAGCATGTAAGTAGGCTGTAGAAACTGCAATCTGTTACCCTTTTTCTTCAATTTATTACCAATGGCAAGTTTTTGCTTCTCTTTTTTGGCTGGAAACATTTTCTTCGTGAAAACCGTTTCAACAATACCCAGCATTATTAAGCATTTGGGAGGTACTCGCATAAAATCCAACAAACCTTTTGAAGCCTTAAACCTGAAAACAACTTTAGTGCGCCAAAACTCAGAGCAATGTATAGGCAAAATTATTTGTGTGCAACTTACACTTCGCAGTTGCTCCTATCAGTTCCTACAGGCTTCTTCTCCCATTTAAGAGGTAATCCTGTTATCAGACTACGGATAAGACGGCGCCTTTAGCGTGCTTTTTGTTTGTCATCACATTGGCATAAAAACTATTTTAAAACTTAACTTCAATTGGGCATTAGCTTTAATGCCTCGACTGCATTAACGATTAAGTTGAAATTATGACGTTTTCTTTCTAATCGAATTTCGCCAGACCTTGCAATCAAGTCCATATTCATGTAATGAAAGGGGTAGCGTGAAGTTGTATAGGATTTTACTTCGTGATTCTAGTTCTCCCCACTAGGGTTCCACCGTAATGTTTGTTATCTATTCATTCAACTGGAATCTTTTCTGACCTCAACTTTACACAAGGAGCGTTTAAGTCGCTAGGTCATGGCCTTAGTTCACTACTGTTATTTCAGTACTCTTAAAAGCTCCCCATGCATAAGCTCTGATTGACTTCCCCTTCGATTCAGTGCCACTGGTTATTCAGACATCCGTGTTCACAAATTTGGTCATGTCCATCAACCATTTGTCTTTTATCATCACTCCACAAAGTGGGCTAATAAGCTAGATTCACTGCTCCACACCATGATTGCTGGCATGACAAGGTGTATTGTGTCTGTTTTTTTTGTTTTACAGAAAGCTGAATACAACTGAAAGTGGTTTAATCAAAGTTATGCAAAAAAATGAAAATTCGTGCTACTAGAATGTCAGTTGAACTGTTCGGTCACTGTAGCACAACTTGATGCAGTTGTGGCGCAAATAGAATTTTGCTAAATCATGCATATTTATTGCTTGTGCACTTAACGATCTAGTCCTCCGTCTATGCCGTGAAGTACTCGCCCTTTCTTCCCGACGTCTTCCTCTCCTGCTCTGCTGACTGGACCGTCCGACTTTGGCACTCAGATCGGCAGAAGTGTTACCTCACCATGGCGACTCATTCTGTAGGGCTTGTTTCAGTTTAAATAAAGTCTCAGTTGTCTTCTTAGATGGTTTTGCCCGAAAAAGTTTTTTTCCCTCCTTACCGATGTTGCTAATTCAAGCAATTAAAGTCAGGATTTAGTGCATGAAGGTACCTTCGCAACACAAACCAGTGGATTTTGAATTGGACGAAATTTGGAAGCACAAGTGTGTGACAACTGGAATTGCACTCCTTTACGCCAATAATCCGATTTAAAGCGGTAACATGAACATGAAGTTATAGTGGCGGAGGATTTAGTTTCTGCATCGTAGTTAAATGAAATAGGAGCAGACTAGTGCCATCCCAAAACAATAAAACACGTCGATGGTTGTAACACAGACATGAATGGATCGAGTTTTTTGCTTGTCATTGACGCTTTAAATAGCAGAAGATTGTGCTTGGCATAGGCTTGCATTGAAAATAATCTTAACACCAATTGTCTGCCACTTTATTTGCTGAAACAGTTTGATCACTCTGGATGCCTTACGTACCGCAAAATGCATAGTCTCTTTATGGTCAAAAGGTACTAATAACTTAGCGATTGCAATGGAACAACAAACACGTCCCAGAAACAGTCCAGTTGTCAATGTTATTTCAAACTCCTAGCTAGAACTGGAGCAAATTAGGCCTTCTCCAATGCGGTATTTTCACAAATGAGTAACGCCTCCGAGCCCGCGAAGATGTTGACAATTGTGACGAAGCATAGCGTTTGTAAAATTGCACTAGCTCCAAGCCTACTTATTCAACCAATTCTCTGATCAGTCCTTGAAAACTGGATAATTATCTAGTCCTCAACGTAACCGCCTTGATCGTCACACTCGTGTTGATACACCTGCAGTTTGGACGTAATGCTTGCCAAAATTGAGTGTTGCTGCTTGAAACACTACTATTTGTGTTTGGGATAATTTCGGCACTCAACCCTTTCACTCTCTTACTTAGGCTACACTCATTTCGTGCGAGACTAAGGCTAAGGTGCTTATTGCTCTGGCCTTTTCTTGGAGTTGATATTGCTCCACTTCACAAATCACTTCCTTCTGCTTCAACGGCCAAATATCCACAGTTTATTTTCATGTCGCCAAATTACTCGAAAAAGTTTGACGCGCGATTCAGCACCTATGAGACCTTAGGCTTTTCCTCGACCCATTAATTTCTGCTATTTTCAGGGGCTTGTGGCTGATGTGTCTGTAGTTATTTGCTAAAGTATGATGTTAGGCAAACGAAGCAAGTTTTGCAGTCACTGTTGTGTCATAACCAAAGCACTCGTCTAATTTGCTTTACGTTTAGTCTGAGGTAAACGACTTAACCTGGTCGCACAACAATGGGACCGTCTTTGCCTGTACCAATGAGGGCAACTTGGAAATTTGGGATCTTGAACGATCAACGTGAGTCACAAACACATTATTGCTCAGTTTTCACTCATTATACTTTCTTTATAACCGTATAGCGTTACCGAGTGTCACGTTGGAGACCAACTTTATAGACTCAATTACATTGAAACCAAATCGTGTTGATCTTCCAGGCTGGATCGTGAAATACAAAAAAATGAGACAATATTCTTGCCAAACATCATTTGCAACATTGAAAAAAATATATATATTGTGGCTCTTCTGAATAGTTTACTTCTTAAAATAACGTATAATTTAGCCTACTTGTTACCTAAACAGAATAGCAACCCAAAAACAGTTTTCCGAGCCTTTCTGTCGATGCTAATCTGTAGGCTATTGTTCCGACTTGCTCCTGCCTTCGGTTTGACAGTTGGGCGAATGGGGTCATAGATCTCGTCCAATTTTGTTCGTTCTGTCCCCGAGTCGCTCTATGGGTCGGTCAGTAAGTTAGTCAGCAAAACAACACTGTCTCCAGTCTAGTACACACGAGCACGCAGTCACAAACGCACACACACCACACACCCCATCACTATGTGAAAATTGAACAGAAATTTGATTCCACTCCAAAGCCCACCCTCTCGTCCCACTTCTGCCTCCAATGGCATCGACGACAGCAACGTGGCATGAGATCTTCGACACATCTGAGTCAATGTCCCAAAGTGTGTGCGGTGTTCGATTGCGGTTAGAAAACTGGATTAATGACCGCTCAAATTGCGAAGCATTAGGTGCCGTCGTGTGCCTTGTTTCACGCACCAAATTCGAAGTACCTTGTATCAGAATGAGATTTACCGTCAGTTGAACAAGATACGACATGTTCATGGTGGTGCACCCATTGTAAAAACACGAACGCACCGGTTTGAGGTATTTGGCCCAACACCACAACTTCAGTGTACGAGTGTGACTGATTGAGGTTTATGGTGCCTTTCATTGCACACTGTTCATTAGTAGTTGGAAGGAATTGTCTCTCTTCGTATACAAACAATGAGTTAGTGGCTTGAAGTTGGTTCAACATTGATGATCACACTTTCGCGACATTATATCTTTCTAGTGTCCAAGTCAGCAAGCTGCTCTCAATTGTACAACCACCTTAAAATCTTTATCGAGGTTGTGTTATAACGGCCGCTGAGACGGCACCCTGCAGTGCGATCTTTTAAGGGACTATGGCTTCCCCCCTATTAAACACAACATCTCATCCTCCTAACGAACTCCTCTTGGCCTTCCAGCGGTTGGACTTTGGAACGCTTTAACTGAAACAATCTGTCCTTAAAGGACACACTGAACCATTAGCGAAGCATGCCAATGGGACTCCATCGCAGTTGGCTACCTGTTCACCCACCACCCACTACACATCTCGCATTACAGATGTGCGCTTTTTGTTCGGGGGTAACCCAGTGATGGATAAGCACGAGACAGGTCTAATAGTAGTATTTTGTAGCGCCGAATTTTCGTGCCCATGAGGGCTTTGTGCTTAGTTCAGAGTCTCTAGCATAAAGGCAAGACTAAAATATTTAATTTTATATACCACCGACTTGCATTTTATGAGACGCTATATGAAGACACCAATACTTCTCCAGTAATTAAAAAAATTATTGTTTGAGACCGATGTTTTACATCTTCCTTGGCAAAATTTACAGTCTAACTACGTTAAATTGGCGTTATGAAAGTTTAAGCTCAAAACTTCGGTGTTAATTTGCGGTGGAGGAAAGACAAGAGACCTTTGTTTCCTCCACCAAAGAGCTCCACACCTGTTTCGGTGCCCAAGACCTTCGCGCAGCGCACCCCTCACTAATGGTTTCATTAATTATGTGCAAGCACGCAAATGTCGTAGGCGGCGGTGGCGGTGGCGGTGGCATTACCTCGCTCCAAGTGGTAGCGCTGGGGGTAGGCGATGAGGTGGAATGGGGCCTAGCACCTGCATACAGGTGCATCCCCTCTCTACTAGCAGACGTGATGCCGCTTGTTTACACGTGCACTGGCCCTTCAGGTTGGTTCGGTTGCTAGGCCCTTCCGATCACCTCGCCTCGTCGGTGTGCAGTAGGGTGTTTATTTATTCTCCCACCCCATGCAAATGGTGAGAATGGAGTGGGTGGGTGCATTCATAAGCAGCACAACGAATCTTTTATTCAGGCTGCCGGTACTCTTGACAGCCCAAATTTAAATTTATGCCACTTCGGCTTTACTTCCGCGATCCCATGGGAACGGGAGTGTGTACAAACACATCCTCCCCTTTGCAATGATACATCAGAGAATATTGGCATAAAGCCTCGTTTTATACTATAAACATATAAATTCATCGGTGAAAGTTAGTGTCGAATTATCAAATAACGTTCCTTCAGACTATCCTGTGGAGTTTGTGTTGTAGACAGTTGTAAAGCTATTTGTTTAAATCAGTCTCACACGGGAGTTCGCACTGTTTTTCAAAGCCCTGAACACATGGTATCCCTTTTTTCAAGTTTATTTATCATACTGCATTCATGAATGCAGTAACTGCAGGAGACGATAATGTGGTGGAAAGAGGTAATGAGATTTCCCATTAGCACAACCTCATCTGCCAGGAATAACTTATTCTTTTCACTACGTTATAATACTTAATTTGCGCATAGGAAAATGTATCTTACTGTTGGTCAAATATTTGCTCCAAAATCGGAACGCAAATCAACAGGATGGCATTTACGTACCTGACTGGGTGGCATGAGGTTTGGTCGGTGTTTTCACCCACCGGGATATCCTTCTTCGCTTTTAGTTCGAAAAGGTGGTGTTGCTTACTCGAACAAAAGCTCTAAAGCATTTATTTCGGTTTTACGAAACAAGCTATGCTTCGCAATTCCAATGAAGGAAGTAGTGTTTAAAGAAACGACGTGCTACATTCTCCAAATACTCCATTTTGCAATCTCACGTCTACTAATTGAAGCCCTATTAAGATTTTGTTGGTAATATTAAATTTATTCACAGGATTGAGTGAACTAAGCAAATCCATTATCCAGACATGAATTTGTGCTCTTTATTCCACTTGCCTTTCTCGCTACAACCTTTCAGTGGACAACAGAAATTCATATGCAAAATAAAGTGGTTACCTCACCACACTGCCGAGCCTTGACTCATGAGCTTTTGCTATGCCAATGCCATTTCAGAGGTCACCTTTGTGGCGTATTTATTGCTCCACAATCTCAAGATGGCGGTGTAGTCAGAATCGATGCTTAAAACCATCACTCAAGCAGAACGCATTTCAGTGGAACCCACTGCAATAATGCTCTTTAAAATTCTATTTAAGACTTGATCCGGTCCATGTGGAGTCCGTGTGTGCTGATACAACCATGTCTGCAGTTCTTTTCACCGAGGACAGTGATGTAAGTCCCCTTTCACTATTCATAATGTGAGCTTCTTTCGTCATCAACATCACTTATGCCTGCATTCTCGGAGCAATTGTTTACCCCTATTTACATGTTTTATTCGGCATGAACAAATATGGGGACATAAATAAGTCACATGCAATACAAACTTGAACCTCACGCGTCCACTGAGCACAGCCGATGAAGGTAAATAAAAAACGTCCGCATCAACATTGCTCCTTAGATTTGCTCCTCCAGTTCTTTCTGCCGTTGTTTGAACTCGTTTACGCAAAATGTGCATACACTGGGTCGCTGCCCGGCATAGGGTACATCATGATGTCTTAGGCAGGGTTGTTCTGAGGCTGGAATACCAGTCACAAGAATGGAGTTGAGATGAGCGATGTACGAGGTTGCCAGTCGAAGTGTCTCAATCTTTGATAGCTTGCGGTTCAACGGCTGAGTGGGGATGAGACGACGGAGCATGAGAAAGGCGTCATTGACACTGGCCGTACGAGTTCGTTCCCTTGCGTTCATCGCATGTTTGATGCGAAGCCGAAGATCCGTCTTATCACTACGATGTGGTGGCATCAAAGAGGGCGAGGCGGAGGCACATAAAGGCGGAGGTGGAGGAGAGGACTGTGTGTTTGGGCTGGACGTGTCATGCATACCGAGAAATTCCATGACTGTGATAATTAATTCGCTCCGAGATGACTGACAAGTTTGGCAGCTTGAAGGTGGAACGTATGCGTGGGTGCGACGCTGGTACTTGTTTCTAATTGGCTGCTGCAAGTAGCAAACGTGAGAGGTGCGTGCTTTTCGACCAATGAGGGGGTAAAGAGAAGAAAAATCATTTATAAGTTTGATGCAAGTATGACCTTCACCTTCATTTATTTTTAGCCTAGCATACTGTTAAATAATTCACGTTATTTATGCAGGTGAATTTTAGTTTTTTGTTAGTTTTTACCACTAGTGATCACAAGTGCTGTTGCTATTCAAGCCAAATCGGGACTTATTTACTAATATTAGCTTCAGTTGTAGGTGACAGTGTTTCCTATTAAAAATAGTAACGTTTGTAGGGAGCAGCGTGTTATGCTAAAGCGCCTTGTCAACGAGGCGATAAAACCCGCAGAATACTCCCAGCAAAATATGGTACTATGGTAATTAGTCGCAGTAAGGGCATTGAAATGGTGCAGACGATTCAAGAGCAGTCGCACCTCTGTCAATAACAATCATGGTCGTAGTGGATCTCGGCCCACAGCAGTCGTGCCTGTGATTCTGGATAATCCCTGCATAACTTGTCGTGAAGTTGTAAAGGAAACAAAACTTTTCGTAAGAACGGTAAAGACCAACATTCACGGATGTTTGCACTTTGAAGAAGTTGGTGCACGATAAGTACCAAAACAGGTGAATGGAGGCTGCGTCCAAAGCATTACCTCTCATAATCTGTTCTTATTCCAGTGCACATTAAATGGCTCAAAGTTTACCCATTATTTTCCACTACACATTAAGTACGCCACTTCAATGGGAATTCTGGAGTTACGTAGTCTTTCTCTAACGTTTATTCTGTCATCTCCAGTCCATCGTGTTGCATGGTTTAAAATCTCCAACACTGTTTTTTATTAGTTTTGGAAATATTTTTTGGGGCAAAGTGTCCTGTATGCTTGTTTCACTCTAAAAAGTAATAAAATGAAGTTGGTAACTAGTGCCTTCTCACTCACATGAATGATTAAGATTATCGGAGGTGGCACAAGATTGGCCTACACCTCCAGGTCACCCTGTATTTGGTGAGTTCACTTATAGTCCCACATCCGCTCCACTGTTGATGAGTTTGCAGCATCGGCAGTGAATCCTGCCTTTGCTTCGTCGTGCGGCTGTGATAACTGTAAAGACCGCACACACGCACGTTGGTAACAGGGCTGGAAGGAACAGCTGCAAGTAAATGTCGTCTGTTCGTCGTTAATTCACCCTCTAGGCACCACCTGGACAGAGCAGAGGTTCAAAGGTTAATGCGCAAACACCAGGACTTACGCATTCACACATAGGCCATCACCTGGCTGGCCTCCCTTACCTCCGGCCCAGCCATTGACGAGCCCCGCATATTATGCGGTTTCCAGTCTGTCAGCGATCAGCCTTCCAAACCAACCTTTTTGGCCGTTTTCACCTTATTCGAGTGCATAATACCACTGTGAAGACTAGGAGAAAATAGCTGACATGTGTAAGGACCAGAGTACATCAAATCAATGTTGTCCATAGAAGCATTCTCGAAAATGCAATTCTGGAGGTTTTACTAGTCGGAAAGGATGTAAATGGTTGTTTCAGTTCAAATGTGTTTTCTCACCGAGAGGTCGAGACTGTGCAAACCTTTGGAAGGCTACGCGACGATCATAGCCATGGTCTGAAGGTGGTGAGTATGATCCGAGTTCGGTCAAATCTCTGTCCAAAAAAAACGTTTTGTTTTTTTTTCATTTCTAAATGTCTAGCAAAAAAGGACTAAGGTAAAGAGCATTTAATTGCGACTGAATATCAAAAAGTGAAAATGCGAAATTAGCAGAGGAACCTTAGTCATTATCTGCCCGAAGCTCAGCTTTTTATTTAATATGGATATAGAATCGAGGCCCTTGAAACTACCAACATTTGTTTTACACCATTCTGCGCTTTTACTGACAAAGCATTCGAGATAATTCAATCCTACATTAAATTGTTTGAGGACTCGCAAAGCTTCTTTCAAAAGTTGTTATAAATTTTTAGGCATTTGGTTGATTAAAGGAAGGAGCTTTCGCTCTCCTTTTACCGAAAAAAATACAACCTAGTAGAGCCAAGACATAAAAGAGTTGCTTTTCCACCAGGTCACAATCAAGAAGGACGAATTAACTTCCCACTCTTTCAAAACAGCCTAAGTGAAACCAAAAATTTACGATTTATTTGTAAGGTTCAAAGTTAATGGTTAGGTGCCAGCTTCCCCCACCAATCGCCAGAGCCCGGATGTTAAGCCTCGGAGCGCACACCCACACACTGGAGAGACCTAGCAACTGAGTTTGCACACATGCGCACACAGGGTTGTCTTGGCGGCCCGCCCAACCCATCGTACCTCTCACCCCTCACCCGCCTGCTGCCCTCCCGCGTCCAAGCCCGTGCAGCTGCGCAGTCAGCGTCAGCGACACCAACTGCCAACTGTTCCCGTCTTCGAGGCGTCCTGACAGCTGCGAAACCGCATGCAACTTGCGCCCTACTTGGGTGCGTGCACCTGGACCCTCTTGTTAAACAGGCCTACAGGCCTACGCACATGCATACATGAATGCGCACCCGCTCGTTTGTCCGTTTGCCCTCAGATTGACACCGAGGGCACAGCTGTACAGCCTCTTGCGCTATTGCGACACCTGGTACGCGAGCGTGTTTCCATGCCCAAACGTCTCTCCATCTTTAAGTCTGCTTGCGTCTCCTAAGGAGGGGAGAGGGATGTGGAAGGCTTAGCTACAAATTTCATGTCTTTTGTGGAGATGCCATTACTATTGACGAAGTAAAGAAGAAGTCCGCAGATTTAAAACGTTCGCTTCAAAATGTGGATATGAAAGAAAAAGCTGGATGTTTAAACTCGTTTACATTCAAAACAATTCATTCACATTTGGGAATCTTTTGTGCAGGATGAGCGTGAAAAAGTGCAGGAAAACATTATTGAGATGACTCATTAGCCCTTCTAAACCGCTTAGATTATGCAAAACGTGACTCACCTGGTGCTTCCAGGCCCAATTTTTGAATGTCACAAAAATTAGACCTGTTTACCATATTTTTTAAACAACGCATCCTATTCGAAGCCAAGTTATTTAATTCGCATGCCTTATTTAGCACTCCATAGTTCGTCCACATGACATCATAATATTAATAGCTGAGCCATTACCTTTTTCTCATGTATGCAGTTAGCAATATTTGCCACTCAAAACCGGACATCACTGTCCATTTTGTTGCATTTTAGACAATGATGGTTGGAGACAGCTCAGGTAACGTGTACGTTTACGCGATGAAAAGTTTCCCTGACGCAGGATCTGCCACTGAAGAGGTAAGAGTTTGTTTTGCCCCAATTCTACCCCGCTCTGCAGCTTCGGGATTGGCTGACCCTGATTTTAGTGGATTCTCCACTTGATTTTTTCTTTGTAGGCGGAGAAACTGAATTCCGTTTTGCTCTCCTGTCTCTCATCCCAATTGCCTGCATAGCTAGGCGATTCACGGAAGTGCCCTTCATATGCACATTTATTGTTAAATCGATCCTTGTTTTGGTCAATTCCCTGGATTGAAAAGAAACATGCAGTATTGATTACATACCTATCAAAAGTAGAAGGCACAGAACATATTGAGTAATCACAAAACTTAGTTGCCTGGACCAGTAGACCAAAGTAGACATAGTAACCAGGGTTTATGAAGACCAGTGCTGCGTGTTTATGTGCAATCTAGATCTGGTAATTTTTTGGCTTACATCCTAAGTCCCGATGGTGGTCACTCTGGGATGAAGATAGGCGCATAATAGGCAGAATAAACAAACGCTTCAGGGAAGTTAAGCGCAAGGACCTAGCATAGGAGGGTCATGGCTTTCTTGTACATTAGTCGACGTTAGCTTAATAAATGCGAAATTCGCTTGGTAGGAATTAAATGGGTGTGTCCATGCTGTCTTGAACCTATCTGTATTTTCAGTTCCAAATGCAATTTCCTTCTTTTACAATCGTATTATTATAATAAAATGTGTTTCTCTGCATTTTTAAATCAGAAAAACGTCTCGTAAGTTTTTTTAAAGATTTTAATGCCCTTGATTAAATGCACTCACTTGCAGTCGACCTTGATTTGTTATAGTCTACAACATAACGTTTACCACCTGATCTATACCGCGTGTTACGGACGCGGTGTAAATTCTGCTCGATACGTAGTGCCATCCGGTCTAGAAATTTGTTCGGGTGATATATGCAGAGTCACAAATGAAACGCCAACTTGAAGATTCAAGTAATGTGTCTAGACGAAAAAGTCGACGTTTGGACCCGGAGTTGTGTAGCGAAAAATATGTTTCCCAAGTATTGTCTTTGTTCGACATAAGCGCGATGTCAGTCGCTTATCATTTGCCCTTCGAATATGTCGAGTCTACTCTGGTGCATGTTCCGGATCCTGTTCAGGAACGTATTATTTTTTACTCGTTCCCTCGAGATAGCGCTGACATTAAAACTTATTCGTCTTTCATGTCATATAAATCTGGTTCAACCGAAAAATCCCCGTTTACTGTCGGAGAACAAATGTATCAGAAGAACTGTGTGGAGGATGCTATTCAAATAGGCAAATTAAACCTGTTATGCATAATAGACATTCTCTTACAGGTTTCCACCTAACAGGTGTGGTTAAACCCGATGGCAATATTCGAGGACTATTGGATTCTAAAATCTCCAAGGTTTCCATGACGTTTGACAGGTGATGCGGTTCGTCACTTATTACGGTTTAATTAGGTGCAAAATCACGTCCGTCTGCTGTACATGCAACAGCCGTGGTCTCTCCTGGTGTCCTCATGCGGTAGCTTTGGCACTTTTTCGAATCAACAATCCTGATGGTGTGAATTATCGCGCCCCAATATCTGGTAAGTCAACGGACTCACCTCACTTCTATTTTTTGTAATACTATCCTTACAACTTCAAGGCCTGGCAATAAAATGTGTGTGGTTTTATTATGAGCCTCGTGCTTTTTTTCGTTCAAATAAATTTCGTGGTAATCCTGAAACAAAAAGTCATATCCCTTTGAGTGACTAATTTTCAAAAAGTAAAAATGACTTATTGTTAGTTGTTATAACTTTCACTTTATTTCTAAATAAGTTTCAAAGTTCCGCCCTCCCATGCAGATTTGAGCAGTTGGTGACTCGAGAATTTGTTGCATAGGCATCTTAGTTGACTGTATATTTACTCAACCTAGATTCATTGTTTGGTTAGCAAATATACACTAAGCAAATAGTCTTCCTGTTAATCATGGTAGATTGTTTATTTTTATCACTGATTTGCTCCATGTTTAGAATGGAGGCTTTGTGCTGAGGCTCTTATTTTGTCTATGGCGTAATCATGTGATCTGCATTGCAGGAGGGTTTCCCGAGCACCTCTTAAGTAGGGATTGTGTGTATCATTTGTATTCGCGGGAACGATATGGGCATTGTTTACATGCAGTAGGTATGACTATCATCTGCAAACCAGAAAGAAACTGTGAATATTGAATCGGCAGTCTCCGACTTCTCTGACACTATCGGATTTGCGTTTGGTTTTTCTAAAAATCTAATGTCTCTCTCAGGCTCCGCACTAATGGACTTAAGTTGCGAAGATGACTAATAGCTTGTCATTCTGCCGATAGGACACGAAGATAGGAATCCTCAATGGATTGGTTTCTGCGCGTTTAGGCCTCGACTAGAATGTGGTGAGGGAGCTTTTGGGGAAGCTCTGAAAACAGTGGGTAACAAATGAGCCTTTTACGTGATAGATAACAACGCACAAGTCTCAGCATCAATGAGGGAGCATGATGGAGCACGCATATGTCCCATCAACCATTGATCTTACATCTCTCTTTGCCTCGAGCTCGCAATAATCACTCTGGATCAGTAAAAAAATTACTCTATCTCCTCCTCTTTAATGGTGCTTCTTCATTTTCACTTCAATTCACGCTTTTGTGCGACCGAAATTTCTCAATTTGTAGACCAATTTGTTCACCATATTGATGTATCATTGCTTTAAATATTCCCCATTCACGATAGTACACTAGTTTTTGAGGCTTCCTTGAAGCTCAATGTGTTTTTATGGCCGGACTATATTCGTGCCACGCCTCTTTATCAAGGCGTCCTTCTGCTGTAGGTCCCAAGCAATACAGCCCTCCGATTCAATGCCACTTTTATCCATCCGATCCACCTTACTAACTCTGATTGAAAGCCGGAGCTCTCACGAGGTGGAGTTTATGCTTAGTGGACATTTGCCCCATAATTCACCAGGCCCTACCCTCTAGAGTTCATCTAAAACATCACCTTTGGAGTCTTTGCCAAATTGCACTGTTTTGATGGCCCTGATATTTTATAAATACCAATGTGTTCAGAGCCAATTTCATGTCAATTTCGATTTGGTTCGTTGGAGCCAAATTCATACCCGTTCGGCTGCTCCGAATGTTGAATTCGTTTTTGTTTTCGCTTAAAGCCAGCACCTCATTAAAATGTTAGTTTATCATTCCCAAGTTCTTTGCCACTCATCACTTACAATGGAAAGGGTAGTGAGTGTATCCAAGATTCTCTCTGTTTAAATAAATTAATCTTGCTTCACTGGCTCGAATATCGTAACTGTCAACTAAAAGTTAAATTATCTTACGGATGACTAACTTCCTTTTTAGAAAGTCTTCTTCATTCACTTCCGAAGATTAGGCTCTTATTTCGAGACGGGAAGGAATTCTGACACACCTCATTGTCTCCTCGCATCGGACACACACAGACCTGTGTTACTGGAGGTCTGCATGTATTCACCTAGACGTTTACATTTGCATCAACAAGTTGACTAATGTTTGTAAATTTAGCGAATCAACCATCCATTGTCTGGTCGAGCTTCTTCCACGCATTGTTGATATTACGACTCTGCATAATGCGTCCTACGCGTTCCGATTCACATGCACTGTGTTTACTTGTGGGCTCCCTTTACCCAAATCTGGCATCAGACCGAGCAGGTTGGTTTCACGGCGACCACATTCATTAGTTCCAGGGAAATGACGCTTTAAACTTGGTAGCTACTTCTTTTAAAATATGAAGAAATTGCCAATATAACGTCACAGCTATCTCTTCCTTCAAACCAAGGACAAATGGTCCTGGTTGATTAAGCAGAAGTATCCACTTTAAGAGGCTTTGCAGAGTTTTTTTTCACTACTAAACCACCTCTAGTGACTCTTTAATGGGATCCTCGTATTTAGTCAATCATATTCAATCCAGTCATAAATCATGACTGATGGGTTTGGAAATTTCGCTTGTTGGAGTTGGGAATCATCGTCAGATCTCTTGTTAAGTTGATATCGCCCTTAAAACTAAAGTATACAATCACAAGTGCCTCTGATTTCCTATAATACTAAGTCTTTCATCTCAGAGTTACATTTAATCGTACTAGAGTTCCAAGGTTATCCCAGTTTTAAATGATGAGCCTCTTAACTTGTTTTTGATGTGGACACAAGTACAGTCTTATGTGTAGTCTCAGAATTGTCAGTTTCCTGCTTACTCATCTAAGCTTGAAACCGGCATCATGGCTTGAATTTCCGGTATGTCGTAGCACCATAGCGAAAGGGATGGTCGTTGTCATCTCCTTCAGCGTCTACGGCTCCTCTGGCTGATTTTACTTTTACTTTGTTTTGATACCTCAATTTCTGAGTGGTCTTGATCGCTTCCTCTGCTTCTTAATCTACTGAGCACAGCCACACTCTCTTTTGAGCCGCGGATTTGGTACAACTAAGCCAGCTAATTGTCTTAAATTCTGGCCCTTCCAACTATTGGAAGAGTCCAAGTGAATTTACTCAAAGCCATTTTGACTGAATTTTCGGCACTTTTTTACTAATTATCCAAAGGTTATCCCTTATAAAACCCTCATACTGTGTCAGTTTGGATGATAAGCCTACTTTGGGAAAACTTGGTACAAGTCGCAGCAATCGGTACACTGCCGAAGTTTTCCACTGCGAGATCAATACGGCGCGATGTTGTCCTCCCCACTTTTCGTATTTCATCCCGGTTAACTAAAAGTTCCGTTTTTAATTTAAACCATGGTTAGCGGTCAGCCAAACGAGTAGGCTGGCTGGCTGGCTGGCTGACTGCTGGCCACCCTGTCCTCTGAAACAAATGCGACGCATGCTTAAAAGTGTGTCCAGAGACTAAACTTCGTACTTACCTGAGGCAGCCTATCAGACACCGCTGTTTGTGTCTGATAAGGAAAATCTGTTTAATCTTTTGCCCAATTTATGCTTTAGACACGCTGGTAAAAATGGACCGTAGTCAGCTGCAGAAGTTTGCTCAATACTTAATCGCCTCGCATCCCAATCGCGTGCTGGCGAGTGCTCAACATCTCGCCGACAGACTTCTTCAACGTGACTCTCAAATGAATAAAATCTACGGTGAGTAAGTTTCTTTCCAGCTCCTCTCGTAGACCCCAAAATCTCACGGCTATTCGTCGTCAAATTTCGCTTGGCCTTTTTAG